TGGTGTTTTGTTTCCTTTTCTCTCCACATTAAGATCTTTACATCATGATAACAGAGACTGAAATTTGTTTCATCAGTCAGAAGGTTGTTCCACGTTTTTTCTTTGACCTGCATCCTGTTTTTTCTTTTTCTGAGAGACTTTGCATCTTGATCTGCTAGTTGGCAGACAGCTGACTATTTAGCATATAACTATCTTAGAACCCTTTTAATTTGGCCATTATGTGTTGCAGGAGCTTCTTCTATATTGACATAAACCTACTAAAACTAAAGCTGACACTGAGTGTTGTCGTGTAAAATCCATTATTTGATTTCTGAAGCACTGACCCTGAAGAGGAAACAAATGTGTAACTTTCCAAATACCAGCATGATATACCAACACAGTCTGATCTGCAACTTATTCAACATCTCTCACTCATATTTACTTACATTTTATTACCTTATGTTGAGCTACATCTCCCTAATTTAGGTCACATTCATTTGCACCAATAAAAACATCTGTATCTTGCAAACAGATGCTCCAAATGGTGCAGAACTTAGCTGAAATGTGCTACACTAGCTGTGGATTTCCTGTGCCAAATATAGCGAAAATGTAGCACAGCAAAGAATAGGGGATGTTGCATTATGTGGGTTTTCTTTCAACCATTAATATATTTTTCAAATTCCACAATATTTCCTAAGCACATCCACGACTAAATCAAGCTTCAGCATGTCAAATGTCCAATCAAACTGTGCGGCACATACATGAGCTCCTTCATGGTTGGATGTTGCCCTCTAGTGGACTTTTTTGCGCAGTACGTAGAGTCTATCCCATCTGACTTTGGGTGTCGGCAGAGGATACCCTGGACAGGTCTATCACAGGGCTACACTTAGAGACAGACAACCAAGCACACTCACATTCACACCTACAGACAATTTAGAATCACCAGTTAACCTCAACATGTTTTTGAACTGGGCTGCAAGGTTGCTTGGTGGTTAGCATCGTTGCCTCGCTGCAAAAAGGTCGCCGGTTCATGGATCTTTCTGTGTGGAGTTTGCATGTTTTCCCCGTGCAGCGTGGGTTCTCTCTAGGTTCTCCGGCTGATTCTCCACATTGTATAAACAGATGTTGCACTTCCGGATTTTGCACATTGCTGAATATTTGCAGAAATGTAATGGTTTATAGTGGTGCAAAATGTGCACACAAGCTGCAGCTGCATGTGAATATGTGTGCAGTATAGACACAAAAGGTGCATTTGGGTGTAAACATTAAACTTCAATGTATAGAGACAAGGTTGGACCGTAGATATTTTCACCTTCTGTTAATGTGACAGTGAGTATAGTGCCAACTGTCACCCAGATCCAGAGTTAGTATCAGTGATGGGAGTAGGAGCTGCTCCCTGTTGTTCACAATATATTGTTAGAAATGTCTCTATTTATGTCGGTTTCAGTCTGTGTTGCACCTCATTTCACATCATTTTCTTGTGATCTTAACACATCTCGTCTGTTACACTTTGCAGATGGAGTAAATGAAATGTTTTATTAGTATCAACAATAATGTTACAGAGTTTGAGGAAACGTGGAATCACTGTCAATTCATAACCTTTTTTTTGTGCACCAACAGTTACAGTAGATGGCTCTTTAATATCATCCTCTCTTTTCTCTGCCTGATATAATTACATTGAAGAGGTAAAGCTGTTGTTGTTTAAGGAGATCCCTCAGGAGAACATCCTGCCTCATCAGGAGCATGCCCAGGAGTTGTCGGGAGGTCCTACAAGCACATGGAGGCCACACACACCACTGGCCCTCATTCTGACTTGTCTGGAGGAATTTCCACTGAAGTTGGCTCAGCCTGTGATGTGATTTTCCACGTTTATTTTGAGTATGAGTCCAAATCCAGACCTCTATGGGATAATAATTTAGATTTACATTGATCATTTTTTTTCACTATGTAATGAAGAAAGATTTTAACTGTAATTTTCCTTCATTGAGATCTAGGATGTGTTATTTTAGTGTTCCCTTTATTTTTTTTTCACAGTGTATGTATACATGGATATGTGCCAGTAATTGCTGTTGAATCTCCTTCTCACAGCTGTTTTATTTACTGTAGTGCTACTGTTATTTCATTGAGGTTATCATCATTACAAGTGCTACTAGCTCTACAATTTCATAATTATGCTCAAGCTGGTTTTGCACATATCACCTACTTCTCACTGGCAGCTCTTTGTCCTTCAATAATGCTCACCTTCCTTGTATGATTCTCAAAAACCCCTCTGAGAATATTCAGTTTAACAGACATACATGAAATGGTATTCAGAGTAGAGTTTGTAGGATTTTGCATGGTCCCATTCATTTATTAGATGTATTTACAAGATTTTTCAAGAAAACACTCGCATGTTCAGACATTGTGCTTAAGACAGAGCAGTAAACAGCACGGTTGTCTCTTTCATTTTATAATTAGACAAAGTTTCATTGGATGACACGCATGCTTCCTGTTCCTGTAAATCTATTCTGCTCGGGTACACAACCTGAATTTACTCCAAGTTCTCTTCATCGACAGCAACACAACGATGCACCTTCAGGGAGCTTCGCCAAGAAAATAACCTTTTACAACGAGAACACCAGAACTTCTCCCCAGTGTGGGTGCGTAGATGTTGATTGTGACTACTTAAGTCAGTGTATTGCTTTCCACATTGTGCACATTTATATGGTTTCTCACCAGTGTGCGTACGTAGGTGCCTGGTATACGTGCTCGAGTCACTGAAGTGTTTTCCACATTGCTCACACCAGTACGGCTTCTCTCCGGTGTGAACAAGTAGATGCCTCTTATAGTGACTTGAGCAGCTGAAACTCTTGCCACATTGTTCACACCGGTACGGCTTCTCTCCAGTGTGGATGCGCATGTGTCTTTTATAATGACTTGCGCCACTGAAACGCTTCCCACACTGTTCACACCGGTAAGGCTTCTCTCCGGTGTGGACACGCTGGTGGTACTTGTAATTACTTAACAAACTGAAACTGGCTCCACATTGAGCACACTGGTATGGCTTCTCTCCAGTGTGGACACGTAGATGTGCCTTATAATTACTTAAGATCCTGAAACTCCTCCCACATTGTTCACACTGGTGTGGTTTCTCTCCAGTGTGAACACGCAGATGGTCCTTGTAACTACTCAACACACTGAAACAGTTTCCACATTGTTCACACTGATACGGCTTCTCTCCAGTGTGGACGCGCTGATGCCTCTTGTAATTACTTATGAAATGGAAACTCTTCTCGCAGCACTCGCACTTGTACGGCTTCTCACCAGTGTGAACGCGTAGGTGTGTTTTGTAATTACTTAACCTACTGAAACTCTTTTCACATTGATCACACTGGTATGGCTTCTCACCAGTGTGAACACGCAGGTGTGTTTTGTAATTACTTAACCTACTGAAACTATTTTCACATTGCTCACACTGGTATGACTTCCTCCCAGTGTGGACATGCTGGTGTTTTTCGTAATCACTTAATAAATGGAACCTCTCCCCACATTGTTCACACCGGTGTGGCTTCTCTCCAGGGTGAGTTTCCAAATGTGCCCTGTAATTATTTAAGCGACTGAAGCTTTTTTCACATTTATCACACTGGTACGGTTTATATCCTGTGTGAACCTGCAAATGTGTCTTGTAATTACACAAGCGATTGAAATTCTTCCCACATTGTTCACACTGGTACGGCTTCTCCCCAGTATGGATACGCTGATGTATCTTGTAATCGCTTAAGAAACGGAAGCGGTTTCCACACTCTTCACAACGGTGTGGCTTCTCTCTAGTGTGGACTCGTTTATGCGTCTTGTAATCACTTAAATAACTGAAAGTCTTTCCACACTGGTCACATTGATACCGTCCAGTTTGGTTGCACTGGTGTTTCCTGTAGGAACTCTGGCTTCTGAAATGTGTCCCACACTGGTCACAGCGATGTGGTGTTTCTTCACTGTGGACCTGTAGGTGCTCCTTGTATGCATCCAGTTGGCTGAAACTGCGTTCACATTGTTCACACTGGTAGGTTGTCTGCAGTGGGAGTGGGTCCATGTCTTCTTAGGCAGTGAAATGGATAAAAGACTTCCCACACTGATCCAGTCAGGGTTGTTCAGCTGTCCTTCAATCAGTCTTTCAACAGAAGAACACATGAAGACAGAGAAATAAAGTGAATACAGGACTGAGATATGAAAGCAGCCCAGGAAAAATGACACTTGAATAAATTACACATTATACAGTCGATAAGAACAAAAAGATAATTGGTAGGAAATATAAGTTTAATGAGTTTAAATCTGTTTGGCTACAGTCTACAAACATTTCTGACTACACTACTGCAGACTAATCCTGTAATGTTATTTATTCTACCTGAAATAGCTTAACAGTCAAGCAGGTCAGAGGGAAGGACAGGCAGATTTGATATATGACAGATATATAAAGGTGCCCTTTAATGAAGAAGTCATAAATCTATGTAAGAACTGGATTTGCTGAAGCAAAGATCCTGAAGAGTGTCAACGTGTAACTGTCCAAATCCTTACAGTTTAACTAAACAACTGAAACTTACTCAGATAAGACCTGCTGAGTGGGGACATCTTAAACCTGAATCAACAACTTTAAATAGATTTAGTTTGAATAATACCTTTCTAGCTAGTCGCACTAGAACTAGAAGATTAATCAGTGGAATGAATATCAGGTATACATAGAAATAGATTAATAGAACATTTTGTTTGTTTTTTTCCATTTTTGTTCATTAGAAATCTCCCAGTTTTCCATCCACCCATGGCGGAGCTGCCATGCAAGCTGCTTACCTGAAATCAGGAGAAACTTTGGGCACAAATTTTCAGTTGAAAGCCATTTGCTTGATATTTAGCCAACCATCTATGTATTTGAAATTAATTTATTGAAAATCTAGAAAGACTTGGTCAAAATACTATTTTTAATGAACTCTAACAGTTTTTAGTGATTGTATATGTTACAGACTGTAGTGTTTTTGTTTACTCTGACTACAATGCCCATAAACCTCAGCGACCAGGAAGACGTTTCTCCTGCTGCCTACGGGATATTTTCATTGCGGTCAAGCTACTGTCCAGGTGAGTCAGTGGCTATTGGTTGGCTGTTGCATGTTTCACTTAAATGTCAAATAACGGATTCTTTTCTCTGCATTTGCTTGCATGGTTCACAAATTAATTATTTAAACTCTCTCTCTCCATTGTACACTGTCTCTCTGTTGCTGTTGTGTTGAAATGGCCACTGAATATAAACCTGACCCCAGAGTCTCTTCCATGAAGACGGGAGGCACATGGCTCTTCAGCTGGACATTGACTACATTATAGCTGAAACCAAGGTAATTGTTTTAATACACCTAAATCAGTTTGTAATTGAACAAATAATGTAATAAACTTAAGAATGTGCTGAAAAACACGAGTGCAGAACATTATATACGGGTGTTTTGTATGATCAACTTAAGCAACTGATATCCTATAATGCCCTGTCCATATAATCAACTGTAATCAACTGCATAGCACTGTACTAACACAATATGTTGGTTTTCCTGTCATATATATCCAGTGTTTATTTTCAGTAACTTTAATACCGGCCATTCTGAACAGTGGTGTTTAGACAGAGGTGCTGTGCTGCTTGATCCTTATGTTGTTTTGATCCCAGTTAGGATGCCTAGAATCTTTCTGTGTGGAGTTTGCATGTTCTCCCTGTGCAGCGTGGGTTCTCTCGGTTCTCCGGCTTCCTCCCACACAGTCCAAAAACATGTTGAGGTCAATTGGCGATTCTAAATTGTCCGTAGGTGTGAATGTGAGTGTTCTTGGTTGTCTGTCTCTAAGTGTAGCCCTGTGATAGACTGGTTACCTGTCCAGGTGTCCCCTGCCTTCACCCTGAGTCAGCTGGGATAGACTCCAGCCCCCCATGACCCTAATGAGGATTAAATGGTGTATAGATAATGGATGGATGTCACTGACAGTTCATGAAGACACCCAGGACGTGTGTTAGCTTGTGAAAAAGGGGGATAATATGAGTCCTTTAAGAAATGTTGGTCTTAAAATACTGTTTACTTTAACACAGAGATCAGCTGATGAGAGAGAACAGATCGGCAAAAAGCTCTGTGGCAAACCAAGAGGGAGACACAAAGCCTCAGGAACAGGTTCATGTCCAACAAATTCACATTTTACCCAACTCAAATTTAAGCACCTGAATAGATCATGAAAAATAAAACAACCCCACATTTTTAAAAACATTTTCCTTAGTTATGAGGAAAAAAGTGCTCAACAGAAAAGTAGTGTTTGATTTCACAAGTTGTCAGCATGCAAACTGAAACCAATAATGCAGTGACAGCATAACCTGCTCTTATATTTCTATGCACTGCTGTACAGTACAACCCAGCCCTCCTGATTGCTATGTGTCACCAATGCAGAGGTTCCTGGTAACCTGCACATCTAAACCCTACAGAGGAATTTGGTAATCACAGTGATGATTGTTCTTGTAAATCTAAAATGATTCTATCAATTATTCGCATTTCATGACAGCTACCAGTAATTCTTCTACACATCTGACAGTTTCTTCATTTTGATGAGTAGTAAATGATATAGTGCCCCAGTGGGTGAGCATGCCCAACCAAAGCCCATGTGATAGAATGGGTCAGAACCTTTGTACAACAGTTCATCCCATGTTTGTAGCACCTTCAGTTGCAGAATTATAGGACTTACAATGTGAACCCAGTTAAAAGTTCAAAGGTCAATATTTCAAAGCAAGAGTTATGGAGAACAGCCAAAGTTTTATGACACTAATCAAGACCTTTCAGAGGATGCATTTGGTTCAGTCTTTTGGCATAATTATACTCTTCTCCCTTCTAGAACCAGCCCCTGTGTCAGGTATACATTTCAAGGAGTGATGATCAATCAAATGGAGAAAAATTTGTTTTAAAAAAACAAAACAAAAAAACAAAAAACAGACACAATGGCCAAATGTATTTATGTATTTATTTATTTTCTATGGCGTAGGTAAAAAAACAAGTATGTTGTACAGCAGCACACAGGCTCTATTTCCTAGAAACTGGACATTCAGACATCAGTTTAAGTAGAAAAGCAGTGCCAACAGAACATGGAATGGAGGTACATGTAAACAATGACGCATGGACATATAGAACCATTTTAACTTCACCAGTCTGGGTCATTCTGGCAAAAAGAAAGCATCCAGAGATCTGTGTAACTGTCTGATCTCACCGTCACTTCTTGCCTTACTCATGAATAAGACCCAGAGTTACCTGAACTCCTCTCCTAGGTGTGGGCTCTCTCCCCTTACCTAGAGGGACCATTATCATTGAGGGCACTGTTCAAGTTTTACCGCATCTTGACTGAAAAAAGAAGTATGACAAAAATAGAGTTCAAACAAAACACTTTAATTTATGTACAGATGGACTCTTTTGGCTGCCAGGAAGGGGCCCACTCCTTGCCGCTGAAAACAGAGGGGACATGTTTTAGTGTACTGTTACATGTTGGGTCTTTCCCTTCAATGAAAACATTTAACATGTGTGACGCATAGAACATACAGAACAGACATTCCAATTAGTTTTTTGTGAGCTAGCTGAGTCAGAGCACATGATATTTTCTGGTAGGTTCAGGATAGTTGCCGGTGTGGAGACCTCTGAGTGTGTCTCATTCTATATACTGCTGAGATGTTGTGCATAATCTTGAAAAAGTTCAACCAAAGCATGTCAGAAACGTTACATGTGGACATCAGGGAACTGTTTAAACTTGTGGAACATGTGCATAATATGAGTCCTTAATTTTCCACCTTTGAAAGAACCACCAGTTTTAAAGTGTATTTTAATAATGCACCATAGTGACCACAGGGACCCAGAACGTAGACGACTAATGATGTGATAGCCAGTGGATGGTTGTGACACTTGGGACTACAGGGGATGATGATGTAGAAGGGGGTGAGGTGTGTGGTGGGAAGGCCTGTTTTCCTGAGGCGGCTTCACTCCCTACGCAGACTCAGGAAAACAGGCCTTCCCACCACACACCTCACCACCTTCTACAGGGGCACCATTGAAAGCATCCTGACCTACGGCTTCACCACCTGGATCAGGTGCTGCAGCACCAAGGACAGAAAGTGACTAAACAGACTGGTCAAGACAGCCAGCAAACTCATCGGTGCCCCTCTCCCCTGCCTGATGGAGCTACACCAGCAGCCCTGCATCAGCAGAGCCACCTCCATCATCATGGACCCGCTCCACCCCTCCCACCACATCTTCTCCCTTTTGCCATCAGGGAGGAGACACAGCAGCATCAGCTGCAAAACTAGCAGGAAGAGGAATAACTTCTTTCCCCAGGCTGTAAGACTTATCAATGGACTGTCCCCCATCCCCACATACACACCCACACTCACCCTGGACAGCTAGTCACCCGTCAAGCCAAGAGACTTAGCACTTTGACAGATTGGACTGTATTTGATCTTATTTTATGACTGTATTAGTTTATTATGATTTGGATACTTTACTATGATGTGAACTATTTTTTTAAAAAGCTTCTATTTCACTGCAGTCACTGATCGAGAAACAACATTTCTTTCTCTTGTGTATGAAAATGCACAGTGACAATGACAATAAAAGCTTTGAACCTTTGATGTAAAGTAGGAAATGAGCTGAATACATACCACTCTGGACAGGGCTCCCAGTCGATCAATATTTCAAGCTTGCCCTAACAAGTGAATAAAAAACAGACAAAAATCATTTCAATTCTTAGGACTACACTTTTGTTTATGGTATTTTCTGACTACACAGGGTCACTGGTAACATGTATTCATACTTAATCATTCATTTTAAGCTTCAAACTTATTTTTATTTTGTAGTACAGAATGATATATATTTTTTAAAGTATGTAGCTCACAATGATGTCAGCTAGATGTATTGCACGACAGTATATTCTGCACTTTGTTTCGACCAGTCTAACCTTTCTAACTCTTTCCTGTAGCACCGTTCTGAAAGGCAAGGCCTCCAGGCGAGTGTGGTAGGAGCAATCTGTGGACATCAAGAACAGGTTTTACACATCATTAGGATTAAGAAAAAAACAAAACAATGAAGACTTCAATGGCGACCAGACTTGCAAAAATGATCGGTGATTATAATGTTCATTCGGTGGAAGCATATCAAAGGCTGAACTACACTGAAGTGGTACCACAGTACAGCTTCCAATGTGGTGTACTTGCTGGAATGGTCATACATCTACTGGCAAAAAGCTGACGATGGAAAATTCTGCACTGTTCTTATCTGTCTCCCTCCATGCTTACCAACAAACGTAATTTAAACTCACTTCTTTGTGACTGCTTCCTGCGAGGCATATGTCTCCCTTTTTTGTTGCCGGGGGTGTAGCTTGAGTTTTCTATGGAAGAGAAGGTTGTGTTTGAGTCATGTGTTAACTTCAAAATGAAAACAAATCTGGAAATCATGCAACATCAAAAAAATACTTTCTCACACACCACACAATTCATTTTAAAATGTAGATAATTGTTTCGAAACTTAGAAAGAATGTGCTTAACTGAAATTACAGTAGGAGTTACCAGAATATCAAATCAATAGTATTGTAAACGTTATACAAACGTTATTTACATACCCGAGTTTTTCCTTTTGAGGCTGACAACCTTGGCTGAGAAGAGAGAGCAGAAATTAGTCAGATACAATATTAAGCTTTAACTTAAATCTTACATGCTCAAAGCTAAAAAAAATCCCACAGATTTAGTGGTGAAGCATCACTTCTCAATGCTCTCTGGTGAAGGAGGACACAGGAGTTGCAGCTGCACACGATTGTTTCATTTTGTGCAGAAGAAGAGTCACGTGATGCGTTAAACGCCTCTTTTTTATGTGAACGCGCACAGAGTCTGAAGCAAAAAGTCTGAGTTGACAAAGAAAGTTTATAACCACCTTCATGATACCAGTAATCTCTGGCTGGGGCTTTTGGTTTTGTCGATTCGGCGTACACAAAGAAAGCCTGGCTATGTCAAACTTGCTTCATAATACACCCTTCTGGTGACCCTCTTAACCACAACTTCTTCCTGTTTTAATGGGTGATATCAAGCATTTCCAGGCAAACTGAGTGTGTCCTGTCCCAACCTTGGGGTCTCTTCCCTGCTGGCTGTGCCTGACAGGCCTCCAAAATAACTGCCCAAGAGCCATCCTTACAAGATGCCTGAATGTATAATGTGTTGCAGTTATATAGTCTTACATGAGATGGCATGTCCCGCAGTATGAGTTAAACATGTGTCCACATGGCTATGCTGGTACCTGACTTGTCAGTAGCTAAGTAAGTCAATAAGCCTGATGACAAACGGCGCAACTTTAGTATTTCTATGCTGTTTTAACCAGCTGGTGATCAGAGGTGGGAAGTAACGAAGTACAAATACTTTGTTACTGTACTTAAGTAGATTTTGCAGGTATCTGTACTTTACTTGAGTATTAATTCTTCTGACAACTGTTTACTTTTACTCCCTACATTTGAACACAAATACCTGGACTTTCTACTCCTTACATTCTCAAAACTGACTCGTTTCTTGTCTCAACCTCTGCAGATGACGACATGACGTAAAAGAAGTAACAACAAACGTCTTTATCTTTTCCAGCAGCGTGCAATTTGTCACTGAAGCTCAACACACTCCTGCTTGCTTCAGCTGTCTGCAAGAGGCTTTCAGCACTGCAGGACTGATTTTCAGACTCAAAAGGGCCCGTCTTCATTCAAAGAACTTTAAGAACCAGCTTCTGCTGAGGCTCAATAAAAGATTTTGGTAGTCATGAAGAGATGAGTGTTTCCATGTTGAGTTGAATCAGTACTTCTACTTTTACCAGAGTCTTTTTTTTACACAAGTATCTCTACTTCTACTTAAGTAAAGAATAGTACTTTTGCCATCTCTGCTGGTGATTAAATGTTTGCTGCTGTGTTGGATAAGAGCGAGAGACACTCCAGCCTTTGTGATGAAAGTAAACGCGTTCCTCTGATTGGCTAAGTCCCAGCTGCTCTGTGTGCTCGGGGCTCTCTGCTTATGGCTGCCAGGCTAACATAAATTACAGCGTAACGTTACTTCATGTTGGCAAAAAGATAACTAAATGCAGCATTGTATTAGTCTGAATCAGCTTCTGTGAAACACATTATGTTCAAGAAACGCAAAAAGGTAATAACAACTGTAGCAGCTGCTTCTCCCTCTTTATGTAGCGAGTACTATCAACTACGCACTAAAATTATGTACTTTAAACTAAGAAAAATATGTAAAATGTAAACATGAAAGTTGAAGTTCATTTGTTTTAATGCCACTCCTATCGTCTTTGTCCATCCATCCATCCATCCATCCATCCATCCATCCATCCTCTCCCGCTTATCCGGAGTCGGGTTGCGGAGGCAGCAGCCTAAGCAGAGCTGCCCAGACTTCCCGATCCGCACACACCTCCTCCAGCTTTTCTGGGGGGACCCCTAGGCGTTTCCAGGCCAGTCAAGAGACATCATCTCCCCAATGTGTCCTGGGTCTTCCCCGGGGCCTCCTCCCGGTGGGACGTACCCGGAACACCTCTCCAGGGAGGCGTCCAGGAGGCCTTCGAAGCAGATGCCACCTCAGCTGGCTCCTTTCGACTTGGAGAAGCAGCGGCTCTACTCCAAGCTCCTTCCGCGTGACTGAGCTCCTCACCCTATCTGTAAGGGAGCGCTCAGCCACCCTGCGAAGGAAACTCATTTCGGCCACTCGTATCCGCGATCTCATTCTTTCGGTCTTTACCCAGATCTCATGACCATAGGTGAGGGTTGGGATGCAGATTGACCGGTAAATCGAGAGCTTTGCTGCCTCGCTCAGCTCTCTTTTCACCACGACGGTTCGGTACAGCGACCGCAACACTGCAGACGTTGCACCGATCCGTCTGTCAATCTCACGTTCCATCCGCCCCTCACTCGTGAACAAGACCCCGAGATACTTGAACTCCTCCACTTGAGGCAAGGAGTCTCCACCGACCCGGAGAGGGCAAGTCACTTTTTTCCGGTCGACAACCATGGCCTCGGATTTGGAGGTGCTGATCCTCATCCCGCTTGCACCTCACTTGGCTNCTGAGGCTCAATAAAAGATTTTGGTAGTCTTGAAGAGATGAGTGTTTCCATGTTGAGTTGAATCAGTACTTCTACTTTTACCAGTCTTTTTTTAAAAAATTAATCTGAATCAGCTTCTGTGAAACACATTATGTTCCAGAAACCTATTACGCAAAAAGGTAATAATAACTGTAGCAGCTGCTTCTCCCTCTGTATGTAGCGAGTACTATCAACTACGCACTAAAATTATGTACTTTAAACTAAGAAAAATATGTAAAATGTAAACATAAAAGTTGAAGTTCAATTGTTTTAATGCCATTCCTATAGTCTTTGTCTGTCCATCCATCCATCCATCCATCTTCTCCCGCTTATCCGGAGTCGGGTTGCGGAGGCAGCAGCCTAAGCAGAGCCGGACTTCCCGATCCGCACACACCTCGTCCAGCTTTTCTGGGGGGACCCCTAGGCGTTCCCAGGCCAGTCGAGAGACATCATATCCCCAACGTGTTCTGGGTCTTCCCGGGGCCTCCTCCCGGTGGGACGCGGCCGGAACACCTCCCCAGGGAGGCATCCAGGAGGCCACCGCAGCTGGCTCCTTTCAACTTGGAGGAGCAGTGGCTCTACTCCGAGCTCCTTCCGTGTGACTGAGCTCCTCACCCTATCTCTAAGGGAGCGCCCAGCCACCCTGCGAAGGAAACTCATTTCGGCCACTTGTATCCGTGATCTCGTTCTTTCGGTCATTACCCAGATCTCATGACCATAAGTGAGGGTTGGGATGTAGATTGACCGGTAAATCGAGAGATTTGCTGCCTTGCTCAGCTCTCTTTTCACCACGATGGTCCGGTACAGCGACCGCAACACTGCAGACGCTGTACCGATCCGTCTGTCAATCTCACGTTCCATCCGCCCCTCACTCGTGAACAAGACCCCGAGATACTTGAACTCCTCCACTTGAGGCAGGGACTCTCCACCGACCTGGAGAGGACAAGTCACCTTTTTCCGGTCGACAACCATGGCCTCGGATTTGGAGGTGCTGATCCTCATCCCGCTTGCACCTCACCAGTGCATGCTGGAGTACCTGATTTGATGAAGCCAACAGAACAACATCATCTGCAAACAGCAGAGATGAAATTCTGTGGTTCTCAAACTGAACCCCTTCTTCTCCCTGGCTGCGCCGAGAAATTCTGTCCATAAAAATAATGAACAGAATCGATGACAAAGGGCAACCCTGGCAGAGGCCAACGCACACTGGGAACAGGTCTGACTTACAACCGGCAATGCGAACCATGCTCCTGCTGCGGTTGTAAAGGGAACGGACAGCCCTTAACAGAGGGCCCCGCACCCCATACTCCTGAAGCACCCCCCACAGGACGCCACAAGGAACACGGTCGAAAGCCTTCTCCAGATCCACAAAACACATGTGGACTGGTTGGGCGAATTCCCATGAGCCCTCGAGCACGCGATGGAGGGTATAGAGCTGGTCCAGTGTGCTGCGACCGGGACGGACACCAGACTGCTCC